TCCCAACTGGGAGCCAGAGAGCAGAGATGCCCAGGTGACAGTCTTTCAGGGTCAGCCTCCTGGAGTTCAGAGCCAGCTGGGCAGAGGACAGAATGGAACTAAGTGGGAATGAGCAGAATGATGAGGATACTTTATGAGTGTTCCTGTTGACCTTCATTCCTGCGGAACCTTTTGTGATTGGTTGTTCTCATCGTGGATGTTTCCATATGAAAGCCCCCAAGTGTATTCATAAGCCATAGTGGGCAGAATGGCCCCCGTGACTGCCTGTTTCCTGGGACCCTCTCTCTGCCTCCTTTCTACCTGATACCAAAGGAGTTTGTTTCATTCACCCCAATATACAAAGCAACACATACCTATAGAGTGTGTACTGAGATGGGCACTGCTGAGCACTAAATGAATTCATTTCTTCCACAGTGTTTTCCTAGTGGGAGCAAGGACATTTAGAATTAAATGTTAATTTTAAATTTTAAATTGTGTGCAGCCCAGAGGAGTGACGAGGCTGACTGGAAGTCCTCCTAGCAGACCTGGGGCCAGGGCTGAAATCGTGACCTGCCCTTATCACAGGGCTGTACCTAGGCAGATTGAGGGCAGTGCCGTGGGTCCCCTTTGCTCCCTCTAAATGACTCCTCTTTAAAGATAGGGCTCATTTAGGGTGGCCTAGCTCCTTGCTGCTCAAGTTGTGGCCCACGGGCCTGCAGCATGAACATTGTTAGCTTGTTAGAAAGGCAGAATCTTGGGCCCCAGCTCAGGCCCACTGACACAGAATCTACATTTTAACAAGATCCCCAGTTGATTAGTACGCACGATAAAATTTGAGAAGCACTGCCCTTCACTATATTAGATTGTGTATTCTCAGTTGTAACCTAATTGAAATTCCTTCACGATCCACCTGCTACCATTGTCCCCTTGCTGTTGAGTGTAGTGAGACCCTGCTTTTTACCAGCTTTACTCCGGCCACCAGTTGGCTGGAGAACACGTGTGGTGGAGAGGACCTGTGTTGAATGTGAAACAGTCCCTGGAGTTAGCTTTGAGTCCACAGGTATGTCTCTTAGAGGCCACAGGCAGGCATGCACCCAGGCCCAGGTACAGATGGAACCAAGGACTCAAAACACCTCCAGTGGCCTCCGTCTCCCCCCTCTCCTGCCCTCTGCATAACTGCTTCCTTTCTGCTCTCTCCCTGCACCATGGACCCCTTTGCTTTCCCTTCCCAGGCTACGCGGTAGAGCATACCACCTGCCACCCCTGTCAAGGACCAGCTGCTCTTGGGGGACATGGTGGGTAGCTCTAAAGGTCAGAAGTACTCTGGTTCTGATTCTGGCAGGTGGAGTGTTAGGATGCAAGGAAGGGAAGAGGGGAGCAGTGGGAGATGCCGGCAGTGGATTCTACAGGGGACAGAGGCAGCTGTGAGGAAGGCCTAGCTCACCAGAACCCTTGTGGTCCCCAGGATACCAGCAGAGGAAGCAAACTGGTTTTTTCTGATCACCTATTAGCTGCCCAGCACCATGCTAATCACTTTACATGTTATCTCCTTTCATCTTCACGCATAAAAAAATCCCTATGAGAGTACGATTAACTCCATTTTGCAGATGAAAAAACTGAGGCCCCAAAGAGTTCCATTACCTGACCAAGGCTACAAAACCAGAGGTGAAGAGGCTGGAATTCAGCCTATGGATCTTTCCACCCTACCACACTGTCCCTGCCACACCTGGGCCAGCGCCACAGTCAGTATCACGGATTGAACAAAGTGCCTGCTGTGAGCCTGGCCAGCCATGACAGGTGGCTATGGAAATGTCCCTGGTTCCAGAAAGACAGGATTTTCAAACATGGCCCATTGGACACACTCACTCAGATTCTGCTCTGCTCAAGTTAAATATGGCCAATGTTGGCTGACCAGCAGTGCCCCTTGATGGGAGAGGCAGGGCCAGGTGAAAGGCCAGGCAACCTGGTCTCCTGAGACAGGTCAGCGGGTGGTGAGTCAGGGGGCTATATACAGCCTGTGGCCACCACCGCCAGCAGTGCCGCAAAGACACAGCTGATGAAACCCCCTGTAAGCCCCTCTCTGAGCCCCTGCCGGGCTCTGAGAGGAGCACATCAGCCCTCCTCAGGGAGGGGCCCTCACTTGGCAGGTCCCTGGACCAGCATTGTGCACGGTCTGTTCCAGCTCTCATGGTGAGGCCTGGGGCCTAGGCTCATGGGCTATATTGAGGGCTGAGTCACCAGCCTGTGCCTGGGCAGGCTGACTGTGACTGGCTGGCTGGAGCCTGAGTCAGGCCCTGATTTATCCTGGAGAGTAACGGGCTCTGGTTTCTGGGGCAGGCAGGGTGAGAAGGGTGCCAGGAGCCATCCTTGGCACTGGGCACCCTCTGCCGCCCATTCACTCACTTTCCTGGGGCCACACACACACACACACACACACACACACACACACACACACCTCTCGGAGAGAAGAAATGAGAAGGGGGAGAAGGGAGTTCTTTGTCCACTTGCTGGCTTCCCTCTGAACTCCCCCCACCTTAAGCGAGGCCCTCAAGTTACTGGGGGACCTAAGGTAACGCCCACAAAACACGAGTGTGAGCCATTAGGGTTTGTGAAGGGCTGTCAGCTCCAGGCAAACCCCCTTTACCCCTTTCTCTTCTCCCCAGAGGCTCAGGGAGAGGAATCCATCCTTTCTTGGATCTATACCTCAGTTTCTTCATCACTGAACCCTGAGCTGGCAACTCAGGTTGGGTGTCAGAAGTCTGCCTTTTTATACACACACACACTTCCCTTATGAAACCCAGCTACATGTCATGTGTCCCCAGGAGGTGGGCATCTCTGCACAGGAGAGCTCAGCCTCTCAAGTAGACAGACGGCATTGATGCCTGATGGTTGGTTTTGGCCATGGTATAAAGGTGGCATGGGGGAATGAGAGTTCTGGAGATAGGGAAGGGGGTGCCAGCAGGAGGGTGGAATTCCTAAGCACCTCATCACAGGCAGCGGAGAGAACATGAGACATGAGCCGCAGTGCCCAAGCTATTTATATCTCGCCTGTCACTATCAGGGCCCCCAGAGCTCCCCACCCCCCCACC